TCTCTACCATCTCGCACCCTTCCTGGGACACCACAGAGACCAGCACGCCCCGTATCCATGAATATAGTCATCCCAACAGTGGCTTCACCCGCCACTCCCTCACCTCGCTCGAACCTAGTCTCCAAAAGATTATTCGGACCCAGAACACCGGACACCACCCCACGTGGTGCGGGAGAACGGCGAAAGACAGTAACCTGGGACGAGACCTGCGATGTTGTGGAGTTCGATCGAGAAGACGATATGTCTATTGCTTCAGTCAATGGCACTGATGCAAGTAGGGACTCTGAAGAAAGTGAACAAGAGGAATTGGCCAGCCCACCGCAATCGCTCCAATCAATCCCATCCTTACCTGAGTCTTCCGGAATAAGAGAATACTATGGTCCTGATAGAGATAGTGGTGGCACTCCTTCTCCTATTCTCAGTGGTTCTATCAACGAGCTTGCGGATGACATGGACGGCGAGAAAATGTCCATTTCCAATATGATCACCGAAGATGAGATGCCAACTCCACAAAGGCACGATATCGATCTCCCAGATGAAGGTTATTCGCACAATTCAGATGGTACGTATCTTGTTTAGCGCTTATGTCGATGGAAAGAGATAGCTTATCGAATACACCAGAACAAGACGTGATTTCTCACCCAAATGGCAATGGCATTTCCGAAATGCAATCTTTCTTGACCAATATGAACTCGTTCCGCGATGATTCGGTTTCGACACACGAAGACTCTTTCACTGCCAGACTGAAGACTGAACCCGACGTAGAAACTTCACTCCGCCTCTCAGAGTCTCGGTCCCCAGAACGTTTCCCTCGCATTTCACGTGATGCTATCCGGCGCCAAGTCGAACAGCAACGCATGGAGGGCGGCTCTGACGATTCTTTTGAACATCACCAGAGTGCATCGTACAGGAGGTCTCGACATTCTCATAGCCCTTCCCCTGTTCGCCCCGAATCAGCAGTCGTAGTCTCTTCCCCCTTCAAGCAGAGCAACCGTTCTGATGTTAACCTCGAGGACGTACATAGTGCATTGGATCGACTGATGCTAGGTGTCGAGCGAGGCTTTGAACCTTCTATCCTCTCGAACCAAAGCGAGCTTGATCGGGACGATGATACAAGTTCAATTGATGATGGGCCGTCTTTTGCACCACAGGGCTATGGTCGAGCTCCCGACTTTGTGGAGAGTACCGTCATTATCGACGAGGATCAATCTATCAACGAAGGGGTAGATGCGCCACTTAGCCGGGAATCTACTGTTATGACCAATACGAGCACCTCTTCGAGCAGTGGGCCATTTACGCCTCGGGCATCTGACGCAGAATCGCCCATGATGCATACGCTTTCTCATGAAGATCATTTCTCCAGTTCCAAACCTCTGCCACCACCTCCCGATGCTATCACGCCTCCAATAGTGCATGTCACTTTGGAGGATGATGAAGTCATTAAATCAGAGACACTTGCAGTCCCCGCTGTCTCAGTTCGGCGCGGTAGCACCATCAAGAAGCGCGAAGAAGCCATCAAAGCCAAGAGAAGAGAGCAGCGAGCTTTGGAAGGGCGGCCTAGTAGACGGCGTAGCCAATCCACTGGGGATCTAAAAGCCAAGGTGCGTTACGCAACAGGTTCATTCAGCAATATCTGCTGATATCTCTCAAGTTTGAAGAGCCAGACCAGCTGGATCTGGTTCATCAAGATGACCCGGACCTTACCGATGCCGTGCAATCAGAATTGGCCAAGCGACAGCCTGCTAAAGTACGCGGTTCTCTGCATCATCACTATATACTGACCTAAACATCCTCCAGAAAACATACATGATGAAGCAACGCCGTCCTACCATCTATGCCTCTGATAGTCGTGTTGGACACCTTGGTGTAGCAGGCGATGTTCATGGCGGTCGTGCATGGAAGGCTGTCCGAAGACCTTCCGACATGGTATGTCATTTGTTCTTTAAAGCTCATCGGAGATTTGACTCGATATCCTTTTCAAAGAACGAATATTCTAAGCAGATTCGACATATGCGCAATCAGCAGAAGGCAGGTGCTGCCCCAGGCAAAGTCTTTGTCAAAGGTTTGACTTTATTTATGGCTCAGAGGACATTATTAATACTCGGATAGTGATCGGTATCAAGGACCTCGATATTCCGCTGCCCTCTCAGCCTACCTATTTTACTTGCGTCCTGAACAACGGTATCCATTTCGTCGAAACACCAGCATGCCGCTTGGAGCGTGAAAGTCTGATCGAGCAAGAGTTTGAACTGTAAGTCCTCTTCAATCGATTGGATCCTTGCTCATGACCCGTAGGATTGAAAATGAGAAGCTCGAGTTTACCTTGACACTCAAAGTTCGCAAAGATCCACACATTAATCAGATACTCAATCCTCCTGCTCGGCCAGCTTACGTTCCAGCAGCCCGGGTCGAAACACCTACTAAAACTCGTAACAGTGTGATGAGTTTCTTCTCGGGCCAAACGAAGCGGCAAAGCAAGATAGTGGTTAAAGAAAGAGAACCTATTCCTCAACCTATCGAATCAAATGATCCTTTCGGACGTTACCTTAAAAAGGACCTATCCATGGCACGGGCAATGGTCACTTTCAAGGACATTGTCGAACACTGTGACACGAAACTCTTTGAGACAAGCTACCCATTGATCGCTCAATGCGCCGTTGGGAGGGATGTCGTGACGAAGACCGTCGGCGAAATTGTTCTGCATATCTTCAGGCTTCCGCCTATCCCAGGGGTTGCTCCTGATGATCTCCCCCAGTCCTTGGACGAATGCACCCGTGGCCTGAGGCATGTCCAATGGCACAAGATTGTCTACCATGAAGGCGTCTTGACACAATTAGGTGGCGATTGCACGGTGCGTGTCTGATTTAATATCTCTACATTCCCTTCTCACATTCAACTAGACTTGGCGCCGACGTAGCTTACAAGTTATGGGAGCAAATCTCATTGCATATAATGACGTCACCAAGAAGCCAATCACGACTATGGATTTACGTAAAGTAACCTTGGTTGAGGATGATGGGCGCAATGGCGTAAATCCCATTATCATCACCCCACCGCGGGATTCCAGTTCGGAGAACCGTCTAGATAAGCCGAAGACCCTACGACGACAACGATCGTTCAATGCACTGGCCGGCATTGAACACTCGTTCCGAGTCATCTTTGACGGAAACGAGAATGACGAAGTATGCTTCTTTGCAGATAATGCAGAAGAAAAGGCGAAATGGTATGTTTTATCTTCCCAGCTCCTTTGATTTGCGTGCTGATCGTCTCTAGGATGGAAATCTTTAGTGCCTTAGTCGGCAGGATTCCGCACAATCCTCTTTGGGCCGAAATCATGTGGCAACGTCAACAAGAATCATCTTAGATATACCACTTTATATGTTACTTGTCCAGTGCTGCGGGCAGAACTTTATTGACTGATATGTATATTCTTAAGGCCCTCCGGGCAATTCCTGACCGAGAACATCTTTCGAGAAACAATGTAGATTACGAGTAATGAGAAAATATCTTTATAAGCGTGACATTCTAAATCCATTGCTACTATTGAGTAAATCTTAACCTGATGAGATCGTCCACATCCTTGCGCCTGTACTATACTTTGGATAAAAGTCTCCAAGTTTTGCACCCACCAAGGAAGTAACTTGCCGTCAAGCTCCAGTGTCGCTAAGTCCAACAGCCTCGTCGACCCGTCACGATGGGTAGAAATCTTACTAGTAGTGAGGACTGAGGAGAATCTCCTCTTTGAATGGCTTTACGATCGATGTATCTTGAATCATTCACCGCTGTGGAAGAGGGAGGAGCTGCCTTTCACTGTCATTTGCGATATCCTTTCGATCATAACTGGAATCATTTATTTCTCGGGTTTCCTCCATGGAATGGTACCATCCGATGATATGTAGTAGGATGGCCGTGCTCTAGAAGGGTTCAGTTTTTTCTGCAAGGAGTAGCAAGCACTAATGGCTGATGAGCTCGATCAGTAAACTGGATAAAATATGAAATAGAAGCTTACAGACTTTTCCTAAATGACTCACGTCTCTAAATCGATACGGACAGCCATTATTGCTCCTTATCCCCAGGCCTTCCATACATCCCGGAGTTTGAGATTTCACTCATACATATCTTTCATGGGTAGTTACTCTCAGTCGTAAGAGAGGGACTCCCATCACAATCGCTGCGAACATTGTAGCAAGACGATGCGACACGTCGTGGTTTCCGAATCGGTTGACATTAAAATTCCATTATTCGAAGCTTTCTGAGGATATATATTTATTTCTTTGATGTATTCGTTCTTCTTCTACAATCTCTTCGCCCAAAAAGGCTTCATAAGTGCGTTTTCTTCGTCTCCTTCTTAATTTGTTTCTTCCTCCAGAGGATCTCTTGGATGGTTCATTTGATCTAATCAAGGGATAGAGCCAAGGAGAGTTAGATCGAGTTCTATTCAAGAGGGAGTAGTCGAGAAGCCGGGGCCAGCGGGAATACGAATATGAAGGAGGACATCCTCGAAACGAAGAGTTAATAAAGTGGTATCCGTAAAGGTTGAATTGTGTTAAAGGTAGT